GCTCAATATCGGTTTTGCAGTAAAGGACAAGTCAAAGCTGGAATTTGGGCTTCCCCCTTGTAAGCCATATTGAAGTTTGCTGTAAATCCACTTGACTACTTGGTTGGCAATGAGGTAGGAGTTTTGTGCCAACTTAATGTGCCCTGACAGAAAATAACATAAATAAAATAGAGTTCTCAGAGGAGTACCTTTAAGGCCAAAAATATTCTCCTAAAATTTAGAAATCCCCTAATTCAACAATGCTGGGATTTTTTTTTTTCCTTTAAAAAGGAACAATTCTTCTCAGCTTGTGTAATTCTGTACCAGGAATTATAAGTACTAATGTTAAAAGAAATATCATGGAGTGGACATATATGTGCACATGCACACATATGTATTTCTCTATGCACAAACAGCTAGGTTTTGAATTTTGCTTCTATAGATCTATTAAAGTGACATGTGGTGTTGCCTCCTCCTTTATAGAAGCCCTTAGTTAAAAAGATATGAGGGTAGTGATTGTAAAACCATCATGTTACAAACATTAGTTAATGCTTCTGTCAGTCAGTTCTCTCTGGTGTGCAGTAGTCTCACATCAGAAGGCATTAATCTTACACTGGCTGATAGACAGAAATGCAGCATTGCTCTTGTGTTAAATCAAAATGTGCCCAGTCCTTTGCAGAAATGTGTTCCATTCCTGCCAGTAAGAGGCTCTGCTCTTTTGGCACCATGCTGTGTTCTTGCCTTATCATAAAAGATTCTGACTTTTCACTAATGTACATAAATCTTTGGTTTTCAACACTGGAAAATAGTGCAGGTCACTCTAGATCTGAAAGGACCCCAAATCTTCTATATTAGTTCCTCAAACCGAAAGGACTTGAGGGAATGCAGATGTACTAAAGAGCCAAAAGAAACAGTAAAAGCCACAGTTTGGTACTGAAAGTCCAGTTCTATTCTTCAATTCCCTTTGCAGTCCTCAGCTACAGCCTCTGTAAGCTCACACCTCTGCTTCAGTTCCAGGAAGGTCTCAGCCCTTTGTCGGTTTATATATGTCAATATAGATATGTGTATGTATATACATACTGTATCTTGTATGTTCTAGTTCTTGTCCTTAGAACCTTTTTTACCTCTTTTTTGCAAGACCTTCTGAGGATGTTTCTTTGGGTTGCTTATCATCAATCTTGGTGATTCTGTGGCTTCTCACTGCCAGACCCTTGTTTGGTTTCCAATTTTTGTCTGTCCTTGCTCTCTGGACTACTTTCCTTGTGGATTCTTTAGCATGTTTGCCATTAGGTTCTCATCTTCTTGAAATGTCAAACCCACTGCATCATGTACTTTTTATTTTTTAATGCATTTGAAGTGGGGGGTGATATTTATTCTGTTTACATGGTACCTTGTACAAGGTTACCAGCTTGATAGGCCTCTAAGCAGCATTACGTTCTCTGTCATATTTAATGTTAAAATATTATGATGTGTAAGTCATTGGCTTGCAAATTACTTTTTTGTCTTTAAAATGTAGAAGTGTTTTTCTGTTGTTTTTCCAGGATTGGGTAAAGGTTTGGCCAAGAATGTATAGGTAAGAAGTAAGCTCACTGTGGCGTTGCTTCCTCCACAGTGCTGTTATGTGTTTATTAATTGGGTCCTGTACAAAATCAGATTGCAACACAATTCCCTTCTCCCCCTTTCAAAGTTGAACCCATCTATTGCTAATCATTGAACTTAGGTGTAGCACTGAGCTTGTTTCCTGTCTATGAATTGCGCCATCATTGCTATACTTATTAATCTTGAGATACTAGTGTTATACAGTATGGTCTAAAAAGCATTCCTGGGCCTTTTATTTCCAGTACCTTGTATTTCTAGCTTGAATCCCAACAGCTTTTCATTGTTGTACTCACAAAAATTTTGCTGAACGTAAACTCTCCTTTAAAAGTCTTCTTGGACCTGGCTATGCAGCCTGCCTGAATAGTCTTCTGTTCTTTGCCTTGTCACTGAGTTTAGGATCTTTGCCTGTGCTACAGATCTGTATTTTTCTAGTTTAGCCTTTAAATCTGTTTTAAGTGTGGATGCAATGTAAGCTTTCCTCAAATGCTTAGACCTTTTGAAAAATTGCAGTTTTCTAGGACAGTGTACAAGACAGTTCTGTTAACAATAGTGATGCTACAAAAGCTTTGAGCTGTAAAATGCTATGGATTTTTTTTCAGAGTTCTTTTCACTGAGGGTCCCACCCCAAGCTGAGCTTTCTGCAGTTCAGTGTGAGAGAAGAGCTCACAGTTCTGTGATATTCAGAGGGATTTGAGCTACCGCTGGTTTTAAAAGAGAATGTACCAAAAAGGGGTGCAGAGAAACCCTAAAGCACATAAAACCTCTTCTGCAGTGTTTGTCATCTTTTTTTTTTTTTTTTTAAATTTTTTTAATTTTTTTTTTTTTCCTATCGCTCCTTGCTTTACAATTCTGGATACAGAATATCCTTTGTGACTTCTCTTGGACTGAATTCTTTTTTTGCCTGCTCTGATACTGTGTTCAGTTGCAAAAATAAGATATATTGCCCCACTAGTAGAAACATATTTTGTTCCTGTGCCGTTTTCTCATCCTCCCTGCTGTTCATGAGCATAAAGGGATAAGTATTTAACTCTTGCAGTACTAATAATGTCTTCTGATCAGTCATCTTAAAACCTACAACTCTTCTCAAGGACAGTCCTGCCTCTGGGCAGACTCATATTGATGCTTCTGTGTTTGGACTGTTTTAAATCCTTGCACTCTTCAGACTTATCTGAGCCATCTCTTGGTATCTTGGGGAAGAAAAGATCCCCCCACAAACCATTTGTATTGCCTTTGCACATTTGGCATATGCCTTGTTGCTTTAGGTCTCCTGGATATGAAGTGTTCCAGTAGCTGAAAATGATGGAAAAGCAGGACTTTAGGCCTTCTATGGAAAGCTGATGTAGGAATGTGGAGCACGAGAATATTGAGAAAATGTTTTATTAAATCCTAACCAAATGTTACCTATCCCTCGTATTGATTTGATGCTGTTGGTGCTCTCTTTCCCTGCTGTGTTCTCTTGCTTCTTGTCCTCTGAGAGGTGGAATTTATCACCTTGCAGGCAGATGGGGCATTTGGCAGAAGCAGGATCCAGATGTAAAGCTTTGGAAAGTTCCCAATAGCAGCATCTGGGCTTGGCTCTGGCTTACTGCCTGAATTCTTTGTGAACTCAGAACAGCTGGCCACGAAGCTGCCTCTGAGGTTATCTCGGGGGTGGTTGCTGCAGATCTGGCTGTGAAATCAGATTCTCCTGACGTACCTCTCCACTCGGAGGAAATGTACCCATACGTTTACATGCAGAAATCTTTTTGTAGCTCAAACTTCAAATGTACTGTATAAAATATGAGCATGTATCTTTTTGTACCCACAAGATGAGTGATCTGGAAACTACATGAGGAATAAGCTTGTGTGTGTGTGGACTCATGTCAATACATTTCTGTGTGAGAATATGGATAATTGTTAGCAGATCCTGTACTACTATGACTGCTTTGACTCCAAGTGCATGGACATATGCCAGCAGATTATTTGGCTAAATATCTTTTCATTTCATGTAGCAGCAGAACACTGTAGGTTTTGGGCAGGTTGCCTTCTGTCCATTTTATTTAAAACACAGCCTTGCGCAGTTGAATCGTGTTGCCTACATTATGTGAAACTTGGTTCTGTGCACAGGTCTGATAAAGACTAATTTTTCAGACTTAAATGGCTCCTAATTCAGTGTCAGACTCTCTTTGCAGTGGGGATATTCACTACTAGATAGATTTCAGTGCAGTCAAAACAAAACAAATGTGCATTGAGTCAGTATTTTACAATGTTCATCACAGCTGTCTGCATCATGAATGGAGAACAGTCTGTCTTCTATTTATGATAAATCATTGATTAGAGTATGTGGGACTCAGACTCAGTCAAAGAGAGAAACAGGAGTTTCTAGCCAGGCAGATGCCTGGGAAAGAGTTGGAAAATAATGTAAATAATTATTTATCTCTCTTGTTTTTCACATTGTTCTATCACTGTGCGTCAAGCACTTTGCACCAATGCCTTGGGTTGTTTTCACTTCAGAACGAATGGATTTGGTCCTCACTAAGCTCTGTATAAAAGAGCAGTGTATTTTGAATAAATCAGAGTTTTACTTTTACCAGCCTCCTGATCTGGTCAGAGTCTCTTCATTCCCGTCCTGCCTCGACAGCGACAAGTATACACTTGAAATGTTGTGTTGAAAATACATATATGCTGTCTATGCAGATATATTTCAAATATTTATCCCTGTCTGTGTAGTGTGGAATGGATTTATAATTAAATGATCAGATTTGTGAATTTTTGTGCGTCAGTATACAAAAAAATATATATATATATATTTAATATATATGGTCTTCTTAAAATAAAATTGTCATAAACATTTATTTGGAATTACTTCCATTGGATTGACTACTTATTAATATGTAAGAAAGGGCTAATATTGAATTTGACTACTTCAATGTGTACCTTTGGGTGCATCCATGCTATTTTTATACATACTTTCATGGAAAAATAGAAGAATATGATAAATTTAGGATGAAAAGTGTTTGAAAATGGTAGAATTTTTACCACTGATTTCTACTAAGTCCTTAGCATGTGTTTTTCATTGTTATCTCTACTGAAAGTTTACTTAAATCAAGACTGAATTTTGCAAGGTGAACTGGTTCATCTGACTGGCTCTGCACTCATAACCCACTGAGAATTTAGTCACCGCTTTCCTTTGTGATAAATTGAAATATACAAATGATAAAGGCAACAAAAGAAATTTTGTTTCTGAAAAGTTTTTCTTATTTCCTTGGATCAAATTTTCAATACAAGAATGGAGAGCAGTTTAATTTCTTGAGGTCATCTCTGCTAAAGCACCTCTTTTGGTGTTTTAGTGCTGCAGGTGCTGGACAAGTTCTGTCCATGGAGACATTCTGTGTCTGACATCATAGGGGAAGTCTGCATGGTTGCTTGTAGTGCAGATTCCCTGCCATCATCTTCTTCCCACAGCTCAGCTGTTAGCAGAGAATTTTTGCAGTTGGGGAACACATCTGTTCTTCTCTCTCCTTTTAACATTGAAGATGCTGCTCTCACCAACTCTCACTGTTCTGGGGGAGTTTGGTGAGTAAAGTCAGAGGCATCAGACAGCACAGGAGTTGTACCTTGTGCATGACCTCTGCCAGTCAGGTCAGGTTAGCAATTGCTGCATCAGACACAGCAAGCACTGATTCCCCTGTTGTGACTTCCTCTCTGTGTAATTACTGAGATCCATCTCTTTCCATTAGCTAGTATTGAAAGTGCAGTATGCATGGAAAGGTACTTCTATCATGTGGAACAGAGATAATGGGGGAATCATAAAGGAGAACAGTATTTTCTCTATTTCAGACTACTTTTCTGCGATTCTTAAATTACTTTAGATATAAAAAAGTAATAGTATTTACGTTTTAAATTTCAGACCTGTAGCAGGTGGTGGGAAAAGACAGAATGATATAAAGCATTTCACTTCTCATGATGCAGTTTGGGGCCATACTATTTTCACTGCTTTTAAGTTTACGTGATTTCCTCCCACAGAACTACTGTCCCTGAAAGGGCGGTTGCTGAACTGATATACCCAAATCTACAATCTCTTGGTGTAGTTTAGGACAGGTGCTGAGTAGTAAGTCCTGCTGTTGTGTTAATCACCAATAACTTCCTAAAACGAGTTGGTAGTTGGGAAGATATGTTAACATTTTAAAAGCAGTAGTCTTACATGCATGTCTAAGTAGTCTTGGCTCATCAGATACAAGGTCTAAGAAATAGAGAGCAGAAATTGGTTGAATGCATTTAAAAGCCAAAATACTATCTGGACCTGCTTAGTTTCTCATTCTTTGTTTTCAGAAAAGTGGATTTTCTGGCACCCTCTTGTGATGTGTTTTGGAGAAAATGGTAGAATCTATAGCAAAACCCTCTGCCTTTCTAGCTCAAGCAGTGAATCTCTTAGCAAGCATGATGTGTGAATTGCTGTGACCACAATGGAATTTAAGCTAAAAATAATAATTTTCATATTATAATGACATTTAGTCTGTCACTTGCAATCTGTGTTTTAAGAGCAGTTATAGGTCACTGACTTGTTCTTAACTTTCAATTTCAGAATTACCATGGAATTTTACCTAAAACCCTCTTGAATAAGACAAAAACTGTCTGTTCAGTTTCCTGAGTGCAGCAGGAATATATGATTATTAAAAACATATTAAGAAAATGATAGAAAAAAAACTTTCTCTCAGAGAGTGTAGTAGTGCTTTTAAAATGAACTTTTCCCTTTAACAGTCATTTGGTTTTGGTGTACTCTGAATAATAGAAATTCATTTTTCCAGTGTCCCAAATGACAGGGAAAGCTGTTTAATCAACCTTATATCTTCAAAACTGCATTTAGCAAATGAAAGTGTGGTGGACTTTAAATACAAATAAGGCTCATCCCTTACATCGTCTTTTAACTGCAAACCTTCAAAGAAATTATATTTTTACTCCCAGAAAATTACCTAGGAGAAAAAAAATGACAAGAGTAATCTATTTTTTTCACAGCTGGTCGGTTGGCCGGAGTTTCTCATCAAGGAGTACATGCTGTTTGCTCCCCAGATGGACAGGCTGTATGAGTAACAAATCCACAGAGCCTGGGACACAAGGTAGAAATTACACTGCCTGTGCTTTTAATCTTGCATAGCTCTGCTCATTGGTGATTGCAGGTGGCCCATATCCAAATGAGACTCCACTGGGACCATATCCTATTTCTTGTCAAAATGAGCCCCATTAAAGCCTCAACTGGAATTAGGCCAAAATACTGAAATAATTGTGGGAGACTTATTTTTAAAAAGTTGAAGCCCCATAATGGTGAAAATTAGACACTTAAGCACCATCCACTGTAACTGCAATTTGTGTTTCTTCTACTTGGTCCATTTTGTCTGTCTGGCTCAGTGCTAGAGTGAGAGGTATTGAGCAAAAATACACGAGAATGTGACTGTGAACACTTGTTCTGGGGTGTCTGTGTAGTGCTGGAGCAGCAGTGCTTGAACAGTGCCTTGTGAATTCCCTGAGGCTAAGACAAGAAATGCTGCCTGTACATTGGCACACAGATATTTGGGTCACATCTTGCTCATCTTGCTTTCCCTTTAATTTAGAGCATGTTTGCTGCTGTCTTCGTTCTGCCCAGGGGTACTCCTGCTTTATCAGTCAAAAGGCATGGAGATTTCAGACCCTTTTTTGTGACTCTTATTAGAAAGTCTGAATTAAAAAGTGATTCCATAAATAAGCCCTGAACTTTTTCCTTGGGGACACCAACCTCCCCCTCTCCTCATACAGTCTAGATGTTGAAGACCTGCATTTTCTTCTTCCTGTGCTTTTGAGATGCCATACTGGAGCTGAAACATTTCAAAGGTATACTGAAATGCTACTGGGCATGTATGAAAGTGATATGTCTAATTTCTAAAGAAAGCCTCGAGGCAAAATGCTTTTCTCTTACTCTGATTTAATCCTGACGACTCCTAAATCATTATGCTTTTAAACTAGGCATGTAAACAGCAGAATCCAGACTCATTAGTGTAAGACTTGGAGGGCTGCTCTCTGGGATGTCATGGTAACTGGAGCTCTCTGCTTTCCCCACCATGTCATGAGTGGTGTGGGGCTGGAGAAGAGGCCAGTCCACTCTGGGGCTGATCTCCTGGGACAGCACTGTGAGAGTTCTGGGCTTTCAGCTTGGCTCAGTGTGTCTATTGAAAGAAGGCGTGCTCTCTTGGTCCCTCTTTTTAGTATCTCACGTCTGCAAATAGTGCTGGTGTGTAAACTAGGTGCTGACTGAATGGATTAGAAGTGAGATACTTCTGGGTGTTGTAGGTGAAACCTCCTCAGACCTTTCTGCCTGGTCTGGCCCTGATGTATATGTGGGGAAAAGGTTAGATCTGGGAAATATGTAATCAATTTAATTTATTTAAAGTCTTCTACTAAATGGAGATATTGCAACGTGTCTGTATGTCTGGAAATCTCCTGGTGTGGATACCTGCTGGGCTCATGAAGTATCCTCAAGACACAGCTAGGACCAGAAGGCATCTCTTTGCACAGCTCTTTATTTTCCCTCATAATGACCGAAGCCGAATTCCTGCTGTGACATTATTTCAGTATCCCATGTCCACTCCTGTCCTCTTTGCTATCCTACAGAATTAAGCAAGCTAAGGTGGCTACAGCCCTTTTCCCCTTTTCCCATTGGCAGCATTCCTTGGTGGTATTTGATAGAGCAGCTGCAGAGTACGTGAGCCCTGGGCTGTCAGACTGCAATCTGTCTCCGAACAGTTTTGCTGATAGTTCTACAGCAGATGTGTGTGTGGGCTGATTTCTTGTAAGCCCTGTAGAATAGTTTATCTTCAGCAACCTTCTCAAACCTCAAGGTAATTTAGATAAAGCATTTGTGCCCTTGCTCAACTCCATGATCAATATTTAACTGCTTTGCTATTATAAAGATACCTTGCTAACGAGCACACGGCATGCACCGTCTTCTGGAGTGCACATTTATTGGTAATTTTTCTCCTCCCTAAGAAAGTAACATAAGCCTGTATGCAAACAACAGCATCAATAAGTAGTATGTTTATATCAATGTGGGCAGAAAGGATAAATCTGAACAAGCTGCAGATAAAAAATACAGTGTAGTTCTTGTGTAGCTGAAAAACTAGTGGAAGGTGGTTTGATTTTTCTTTTTCTCTGTGTGTGTTTTTTTTCTTTTTCTTCCTTTTTTGCCCACCCCTACTTTGGTGAGAGACAAGAAAAATCTTCCTAAACAAGTCATAGTACCTGAAATACTACACCCCTGCACCACAGGTGTAACACCTGTATGATTGAACTTTTAATCTGGAAAATAGACGTTGAAGATTAACAGCCTTTTGTTTGGTTTATGTCTGCTCTGTCCTGGTTTCCGTAGCAGCAAGTGTAAATGTTGTTAGTCCTCTAGAGTCTAGAATGACAAGGCCAGTTGGAGTTCCGGAATGCCAGGTGATCCTTGTACTGATGGTTTATCAAAAGGAAATGGAGAGCTTAGAATTTGGACAATACCAATTCATACTCCTTTATGCTGTAAGAAGGAGATGAGAAGAAGCCAAACAAAGTCTGCTGAAGGGACAGGTTTGTTACTGACCTCAGTGAATGCAGAGTAAAATATGTTCCAAAATAGATAAACTGCTATTTTTGCTGCCTTTCTTCTGAGTAGGGAAAAAATAAAAAACTCAGCTGAAGCCTGGGGAACTGTTGAACACCACAGCTGCTCAATGTTCCCCATGGCTGTGCATGAATGGCATTAGGAGTCTGTCTTTCTGTCTGCCAAAAAAATTAAAGTATTTGGCCATTCTCTTCTTTTGGGCCAGTTTTGAGCAGTGGTTTCTCATGGCTGCTCCAGCAGCCCTGCATGCAGATCCACTCTCAGCATCACCCAGTCATCAGCTCCAAAGAAACTGTAAACTTTTCACAATAAACAGGTTTTATTTGAACAGGATGTGACTCATGGGTTTGTGGCACCTACCCCACAGACTTCCTGATGAGCCTACAGCATGTCAGCATTTTCCCATTGTTCAGAAACACATGCCAGCAAGTGCCCAGAGAGATTTCTCCTTCCACTGGGTCATTGCTTTTGTCATCCTGGGCTGCAGTAATCGGGTCAGACCAGGCTGAACTCTATGCATTTGCGTGAGAGAGGAACCTTTACTGCATTGTTTCAGTATTATTTCAGAGTTGATTTAATTAGCCCTTTTCATTTTTAGCTCATGCAGGAAGCATTCTTTTTTCTTACCCACTTAGCCAGAAACATCATGGGCAGTTTTATGGGCTTGCTACAAAAAATATCTGAGCAGCAGCCTTGAACATCCTATGAAAGCAGTGTCTGTGGCACTTCTGTGTGGCTACATCTGCCAAGGCAGCCCTCTGTGTCCCAGGAGAATTAGGGTCAGCCATTGCACCCTCTAATGATGAGCAAATAGAGGTTTTAATGTGAGCATATTTGGGCTGAGATATAAAACAAGGAAGCAAGCTGTTCATGTATTGGTTGTGGAGTATTCCAAAGATGTGAGAAAAATAATTGCAATTTAATTCATTGGGATATTGATACATCTGGTGGGGATAGCAAATAGCAAAGAATCGTTGCTGGTGTGTAATCAGCCATACTAGAAGCCAAATGCTGGTAAAGACTCAAGCAAAATATGATGGAATCTAGAGTTGCATCTTGGATTCTGTGACAAAGCCATAGCCTGATCCAGAATTCAATGCCAAACTTCCCCTGGCTTCAAAAAAGTTGGACTCACAAGGGCTGTAAATTAACTGAATATTTATATAAGGCTGGCCTTCAGCTTTCCATCAAAAATGCAGCCTGAGGGAATTAGGAAGCTGATGAAAAGAGGAATTGGGAAGTGCAAAACTTTGGTAGTACCTTGCCATGGCAAAAATGTTTAAATCTGTGCATGAAATACACATGGAAATATATATTGAACTCATCTCCAAGACAGGAGTGCAATAGCAATTGCAACTTTTTAATGTTAAATGCCATTACTCATAGGACAGTGGTGCATTTTATCATAAGCAAATCTTTCCTTTTCTAAGCCAGTTTTAGCAAAAGACAGTTTCAGCTGTCAAAAAGCTATAGGAAGAACAATTTCAGGACGTGTTGGACTCCTTAGCACAATGTTTTTCTTTGCAGTTCAGTTTCTCCTGAGCTTAAGCTTATATTTTTCTTTCAAGAGCCTCAGCTTCCTTGAAGGCTTCTTCCACCTGAGGAGAGATGTCCCTGTCTTGGTGTCAGCTTTGATTCAGAAGGCAATACTGCATAGGTCCAGGAATCCGTGGCCTTTCCCACCAGCTGGCCATCTATCATTTCATTACAGTAAAGTTACCAAATTGATGTGTCCTGGCTAATTCTTCCAAAGCAGCTGTAGACCTTTCCAGTGTCTCACCAGGCAATGGTGCACACTGTCTCAGTTGATAATCCTCTGTGATAGCATTAGCAGATGGCAGAACATGGCCTACCTGTGAAATCTGACCCACAGGGATCTTCCAACAGTGCCTGCTTTCTCAGGGAATTTCTTGACACATCCTCTTATCTTTCTGGTCCAGCATACAACTATGTTTAATTTTTCATAGAAATAAAAGAAAGTATCCCACTGCTGGAATCTGGCCTTGTAACTGCTAGTGACTAGCTAAGAAATGAAGATTTGCTGTTAATATTAATTCCTAGCATTTCTTCAAATGAGACGGTAATGAAATTTGATATATAATTTTTTTAAGTACTGGCACTGGAGGTATTTTAGATTTAACAACTGCAGTATCTTTGCTTCTTATATTTTTCATTAATCTTGATGTGCTTAATTAGTTGCCATTCCTCAGTGGAAATGTTTGACTAGAGTAGAATGAGACTAATGAAATCTCTTGGGCTGCTATTGCTGAAAAGGGCTAAGTGCTAGAAGGACACCAAGCCTGGCAAAATATAGTATTTGTTCCTAGGTTAGCACTATGTGGCAATGTTTGCATGAATAAAATAAAATAAAATAAAAATGCTTGAAGATAAAAGGACAGAGTAACATGCTTTCATACTTTTCTGGTGTCCCATTGCACAGGAAATGTTTTTTTAATTGTGACTCCTAGGTTGTAGGGCAAGTATAGG